CAGCGTGTGGACGCGCATTGTGGTGTCGATGATCTTTTGGTTTTTCCCACCCGCCAGCTCCCCTCTGCGGAGGTTCCGCCTGGGCGTTGCCCCAGGCCCTGAGCTGTGCAGGGCCCGGGGGCGTTTCTCACGGTGATCTGTCGCAAGGCGAGGTGAGAGTTACTCACCATCGCATTGCGACTCGGCATTCGGCATTCGGCATCCGCATCCCCAGGACTAGCAGGAGGCGGCCGACCCGGGGAGCGGGCGCGTAGCGATCGGGGATTCGGAGCCTTGAGGACGTTTCGTCCGGTGGCGTAGGATCCCCCGAGCGCAGCGTGAGCGGTGAGGGCTCCCTCTCGCACTCGCAGCCTGCTCGCGAGTGCGAGCCGCCGGGCGATCCTTGGCCCAGATGCCGGGCTCGCGTTGATGGCGCGTCCACGTCAGCGTGTGGACGCGCATTGTGGTGTCGATGATCTTTTGGTTTTTCCCACCCGCCAGCTCCCCTCTGCGGAGGTTCCGCCTGGGCGTTGCCCCAGGCCCTGAGCTGTGCAGGGCCCGGGGGCGTTTCTCACGGTGATCTGTCGCAAGGCGAGGTGAGAGTTACTCACCATCGCATTGCGACTCGGCATTCGGCATTCGGCATCCACACCTCCAGGACCAGCAGGAGACGGCCGACGTGGGGAGCGGGCGCGCAGCGATCGGGGATTTTATGTGTGGATGTGCCAGCAGGCGCGAACCGAACGTCTGAGCGGGTCAGAAGCACGTCGTTCACAGAATCTGAACACGTTCTCGTGTGAATCGGACTTATTCTCAAGTATCGGTCTTGTGTCAACAAATCAGACTTGTTGTGTTTGCATAATGGACACGCCAATCGATTGAATGCACCATGTGTGTGTCTCTCTGTCCATCCATGTAACCAACCAACCGGCTCCCTGATACAGATACACATACATACAAACATACCCACCGGCCCACCCACCCACACATCACACACACACACGCACACCCACACACGCACACCCACACAGACACACCCACACACCCACACACACACACAGACACACACACACATATGTCTCTATCGATCGCACTGCCCTTGTCTCTTTCTGTCCCCTGTCTCTTGTATGTCGCTGCACACAGGCAGCTGCTGGAGAGGGACAAGAGAGGCCCTAGAGACTTCCAAACAGTTCTGTTAGCCTTTAAAGGCCCTCAGGACTTGTTTTCGCCTCCATCCGCCCTCAACAGCACAGATCTACAATACACAGGCACACCACCTTCCATCTGTGCTCCCAGGCCCTCTGGGAGCACAGATAGGATGGTGTGCCACAAAATCGATGTATTTGTGTTGTTGTCTATGTTGACCCAGACGCTCTCGAACCACTGGGATGACGCCCTCGCCGTCCGATATGCCTTCAACGGCTCAGCTGCCATCCAGTCGTTGCCCAGCGACAACGCCCCATCGTCAGAATCCCACGTCAGACACAGATAGCTGTCGCGCTCTTTCCTCAGAGCCAGCTCACTGGGGATGAAGGGAGGCTTCTTCCGATCGTGTCGGAACCGCCTCTTCACCCCCCCTCCCGCACCTCTGCGGACATCGAGCACAGCCGTCAGCATGTTGCGCGAGAGTTGACGAGATCGCCGGTTGAGCATCATGGACACGACACCTCCCAGCCACTCGCTCGGTTTCACGCACCAGTGCTGAGCAGCATATCTGGAAGCAAGGGAATGGAGGGCCACCTCAACACCCTTGCGACGGTTGTTGACCCCTTGCTCGTCGCCGTATCTGGTGGTCGACGCATCCATGATGCGGATCAGCACTCCCTGCAGCGTGTCGACTGGAAGCCAGGAGAGAAAATCCGTCAGCATCGTTATCAGCACCTCCTGATTGTCCTTCAGGTGCACACTCTCGTCCCCCGCCCAGCTGCCGTCAGCCGCGCCCGGCGCGCTCTCCGAGAGCGCCTTGCCCCGCATATCAGATGCCCACAGGATGAACAAGAAGATGGTCCGAAACGCCTTGACCAGCCGGCAGCTGAGAGAGTCCTCAAGGCGATCCAGCGATGTGTCGAACACGTGCTTGGTGGCCGAGGTCGTCATCCGCAGCTGTACGGCAGTCACATGGAGCCCTGCCACCGCTCCTCTGTACTGCCGCTTCTCGAGTACCTCAGTCACCCAGATGCCCGTGTTCTTGCCGTCTCTCCCCTCCTCGATGCGACGGACGACCTCGAATTTGCCGGACGTGATGTGCGACATCCCATCCTCCCCTTGCAGAGGCAGCTGCTGCTCGTCGTCTGACGTCTGAGAACGGCAGAAGCTCACCGAGCAGCAGAACGCTGCAGCAGACCGAGACACAGGACGACGCACTTCGATCATGTTCAAAGAGACACAGAAAACAGCAAACAAGAGATTCAAGCTGCAGGTCTCAAGGTCGACGAACCTGACACAGCTTCGACGAGCAGACGGAACGCTGACGAACGGCCCTAAGGAACTACAGAGGGAGATGTCCGATCGCTTCGAGGCGAAATACGCACATGACCCTCCACCCCCAAGCGCCGACGTGCTCGAGTGGCTCGACGTTGTCCTAGCGGACGGGCAGCAGCCCAACCTATAGCTGGACAATTACCCATCCCCCCCCCCTTAACCGACCGGCTGAGCCCGGAAGCTATTAAACGAGCGATAGGTAAGCTGGGCAACGGCAAGTCCACACCAGACAACACGCCTGGGGAGATCCTGAAATGGTCACCGCCAGTGGTCATGGAGACATTCCTGGACGCACTGTTTATTTTGATCCACGGAGGCCAACCCTGCATGTCCTTGGAGAAGCCACAACCTCCTATATATACAAGAAGAACGACCCGCACGAGCTGAGCAATTGGAGGCCGGTATCAGCCCAAAACCCATTTATCAAGGCCATCACCAAGACCCTCCAAGCTGAATCGAAAGAACTCGCTGAGAAGCACGGCATCATTGCTGAGCAGCATAAGGGCTTCCGCATTGACTCATCTTGCCACCACCAAGTTGCTACGCTCGCGCACCTTATCTCTGACGCACAGGCGTACGAGGAAGAGATTTGGATAGGGTATATCGACCTGTTTGATGCGTACGGCTGTGTCGACCATCAGACCCTGCTTGAGATCATGAGACGCCAGGGCTTCCCGGAGACACTGGTTGCACAGGTAGCTACCTTTCTGGCGTCAGCCTCTACACGCATATCGCACCCTGAGTTTGGCAAAACAGACCGCATACCCTATCGAAAAGGCCTGCTACAAGGTGACCCCCTCTCCCCCTTCCTCTTTCTCCTCTACCTGGACCCCATCGTCCGGGAGATTAACGCGAGCGCGGAGGCAATCCATCTCCGATACACAAGGCGACGGAAGGGTGTCAACCCTTTTGCGGACGACATGGCCTGTCCAGCGCGCCGAATCGTAGCACTTCGCAAGCTTCTCCTGCTGCTGGCGTTCCGGGCCCAGCCCATGCACCTCGTCATCAACCCGCTAAAGAGCAGCATCACTGGATGGTCGCCGAGCGGACGCAGCATACGGGACCTCTGGAACAGCGAGGGAGAGCTGCTGGCAGAGTTCAGCACGAGCGTATGGAAGAACTGCCCCATCTTGGAAAGCGAGCAGACATATCCCTACCTGGGCTTTCCCATCGATGCCAGCCTCAAGCTGCAACACCTGTTTGAGGAGCTGGAAGCCGCCATCGAACAACGCTTTCAGGTCGTGTGTTGCTCCACCTCGACCCTAGAGGTGAAGATACAACACATGGAATCGTCCTTACTCGGGATGCTGCGCTACAAGCTAGGTGTGCCAATCTTACCGCTCAGCCAGGTCCTCAAACTACAGAATGTGTTTCTGAAAGGCGTAGCGCGGATGCTCAGGCTACGGTCCGGAGTGCCGCGAAACCTCCTATGCAGCCCCGCGTCCCTTGGAGGCCTGGGAATAAAAAGCCCTCTGTACACATACATAGAGAGGTGTACTGATTTCTTACAAGGGTTGATCAATGACCCCAATGACCCCTTGGCAATCGAGCTGCTCACTCTCCTAAGCAGAGACACGGCCAAGCCTCCACCATACCTAACAAATATTTGCCAGATACACCAGCAGCTCAACCTACGATGGCAAAGAGTGAAGGCAACGAGCGAGGACGACGGCCCGATCGACAACCACCAGGGAACTACAGCAGACGGAGAAGAGGGAGACACGCCGGAGGCCCAACAAGAGGGCCACCAGGACGCGTTCGTTCTACCGCCAGACAACCCCCCTGCTGGAGAGACTGGAGATGACGAGGGGAAGGCAACTGATGCAGATGCAGCCAGCAGCATGCAAAACGCGAAGCACCTCATCAGCTTCCCTATGCACGAAAACAGGATCCTTCACTCCCACGCTGACCTCGACGTCGACATGGAGGCTTTTGGCGACCAACGGATCCACATCTGTAGTGAGACAGGAAGAGCGACCTTCTATGAGGCAGACGGACGCTATATCGCGTCCATCCCCCTGTATGTGGCCGAGCGCTTGAATACACAGCTGAACGGGGGCAGGCCAAGCGCCCCACTGCAGGCCAACCAGGAGACACTGTGTGCCGTGGTCAAGAAGGCCACACCACACACGAAACGAGGGAGACCAATCAAGCTGATCTGGGCCTTCTTCCAACACCTGAATGAGGCCCTAGCCGAGCAAGGAGTCGTCATAAAGCATGCCGTGGACTCCTCCCTCCTCCGAGAGGCTTTCCCCGACGCTAACCTATACTACAGCAAGATAGAGCACCAAAACCTAAGAGACAATATCTCAGCCTTCGCACCACCCGCACACATACACACACTGGTGCGAGAATACACGGCCATAGATGCATGCAATGAGACACTTAACAACACACTCCCTCTCCTCGATACACTGATTGCTCACCTCACGGAGGACGGAGAGACGTTTGTCCTGGTGATTGCGCGGCTTGACTCGATAGTGGACGAAAAGCTTGACAGGCTGGCAGCCACGGCCCCTCAACAATGCCAGAAACTCAAGTGCGGACACTCATCGTCTCTCCCACTGACATACTGGGGAGACATCGACTACACCGACCTCCTCGCAGGCAAGACATTGAGGGGGCGGATTGGCATCGCTGTCTACCTCCTGGGGGGACACGAGGCGCCGAAGGCCGAAGGCCTGAAAACGGCATTCAAGAGCAAGAGCTTCAGAACGAGCAGAGACGAGAACCTTTCTCTACGCAGTGTAGGCTTCTGGCTGGGACAAGCAGGGCTGGCTCACTTCCAGCGGCCGGCACAACCCCCTGAACCCACCTACAGCGGATACAAGGGCCCGCACGTTTTCTCGGATGGCTCCCACCACCAGAACAACTTTGACCCTGACGCCAGAGCCCGGTGCGTCCTGGGCGTGTACTCACAAGACACGAGCCCAGAGACAAACCTCGCCTACGCACTGCCACCCTGGGCGCACGTGGGCCACGCGGAGATTGCCGCGCTTGCGAGAGCGATCGACACCGCCGGAAAGGAGGGCTAACACCACGTACACATCTTCATCGACAGCCACTCGAGCATCCATCTTCTCTATCAGCTGCTATACGCGCCACAGAGAATGCGAAAGCGCACGCTGACCTCAACTGCCAAGTTAATCATCGTTGCTGCTGAACGGTACGGACGCCCCATAGCCCTACACTGGTCCCCGTCGCACACGGGGATAAAGGGAAACGAAAAGGCCGACAAACTGGCGAGCAAGGGGACCCTTGACGGTAGCAGCCCGATGATAGACCTCACGAGGCTCGGCATTCCCCCTCCTGGATCGACGAAGTGGGGCCTGGCGGGACAGCCAAAGACGACGACGACAGCGAATCGCATACTGACACCGGCAGAGGTGGCAGCAGAATACTTGGAATACCATACCATGCGATCGCAACAAGCTGAAGGCAGCCCCCGCCGATTTGCGTTATCTTCCGAGGGTGACAGGATCGCAAACCTCTGCCTGACATCTGCAGGAGGATTATGTGTGGACGAAAGGGCGCGGATACTCGAGATACGCCATGGGGCAAAACCCCGATTCGCCACGCGAGCCAACATTGCCATGGAAACAGGTAGAGCGGCTGACCTGGCGGACTCATCGGATACCTCACAAGATAGCGACGAATCGAACGATGACGGACGCCCGCGACGGTCAGAGCCACCACAAGGACGGACCACTGGACCACGCGACACCTGCAATGTCTGCTATACCCACATCCCACAGAGCGATGCGCCACACACGCACCTCCTTCTGACCTGCCAGCACGATTTGCTCTGCGAAGTCCGAACAGCCAGACAGAAAGACATGCTTGCCTTCGCTGCTAGACTGCTGACCGACATATCCAAGACATACAAATGCGACCTTGCGGGGATTGGAGAGCCGAGCCGCATTCACATCATTGATCGGCCCACAATGAGCACCCTGAGGACAATCGACGTCCATTTCACTTCAGACGAAGACGTCCTGAAGAGCATTGAAGAACCACCGACAAACCGCGAGCAAGTGTTCATCGGAACGACAGGCGTCATCCATTTATTAGTCCCCCCCCGCGGGACGCCACAACAGCCAAGTGGAGGGCGCTGCTCGTAGAACTTCATAACAGGGCCGTGCGAACGTCGCTGGACATCAGCCGACTGGCATACAAGGTGGGAAGATCCAACACATGGGCACGCCGGAGCGAGCAGACGGCTCGGCGGATAGCGGCGAAACAGGGCACAGCGGGCCAGTCGGACACCCCACGAGCACCCAGCGACATGGACCCATCCGTCCCCCCACACCCGCATGAGTGTCTGCGAAGGGAAGCCGCGAGGCTAGCCGCCACAACTGGCAGGATCCCGACAGGCGACAATGTCCAAAAAGGCCGATCCGCAATACACGCGCGCACAGAGACAATCCCTGGGGACCTCCCAGCCCGGAAGCTCAACGCCGCTCGAATCACGCTCCGCCGACCAGTGCTGCAGCGCACCGGCAGAAAGATAGTCCAAGGGGAATGAACGCCTCCACCCTCACCACCAGCTGACACAGGAGACGGCTGGGTGACGCCTCCGTTCGACGGCCCTGCCTCGGACGGCTGGATATCGCCGCCGTCATCACTGGGGGACCTCATGGAACCGGACGACCCCACGGAAACGGACGAGCCCCAGGGGACCCAGCCAGGGTTGACCTGTGAGCAGCAGGAGAGGATCGAACGCAATAGGGCTGAGGCGGAAGAGCGAAAGAAGAGGAAACGAGAGAAAGAACTGCGGGAGAAGATTGCGCAAGGCAGAGCCGCGGCCGCAGAGAGGAAGAAGAGGAAACAGGAGGAACGGAGGAAGGCCCAGGAGGAGGGACGGACCCTGCCCCCACCCCAGCCACCCCCACGACAGCCCTCCACACGGGAGGCGGCCCTCAACCAGCGGGCCATCGACCAGGCCATACATTGCTCAGAGCGCCCTAAGCGCCCAAGGGTAGAGACCGTCGTGCTCCCTCCGCCAGCGGGGGATGTCCGAATGGATGAATAGCTACA